AATTCAGCCACGGCTTCGACTGCACCGAGTACCTCGGGAGAAACTGCTCCAACTTCGGACGAGCAGCCAAGTGAGTGCAACTGTAGTAATTTTATGATTTTATTYTGGGTTGAAGGTGCTGTGGAAAACGGAAATCYGTGTATRAATGTGTTTCACTGAGACCTCTAAGTACTTAGGAAYAAGTCTCAATGTTGTTAAAGTGTCTGTTACACRCTAAATCAAAACATTTCAGCTTCAAACTGCTTTCATTTATCAACCTCCTCAGTTGCTAAAATGTTATCAAATTGTTTTCAAATTGTTTCGCTGTTAACGGCTTYGRATCAAGGAGCCAATATATTCKAYATTAAAMAAAATATTCACKCCCTTCCTACATCACAGATCTAMTTCTATATTTTAACWTGTTTTTTATTCAACAGAAACTCCTTGTACGATTGAACGCAAAATGGCCCAGCAGATGTCTGACACATTCACACCAGCTTGTGACAAGCAAGGAAACTATGCGGACGTGCAATGTTTTGAACACAAGGGGTATGGAAAACAGTGCTGGTGTGTCGATCAGAATGGACACGAACAGAAAGGAACCCGTGTCTATGGTGACGAACAGCCATCTTGTGCATCACAAGGTACTCACTAATTGACCTTTTCCCGGTTAAAACCAAAGCGGGCAACACTTTTTCTGCAAATGAACAAGAGTGCCATAAGTCATATCAAAATTATGACTTTTTTCACCAACAAAAATTATTTTCCTGACATTGCAAATGGATAAACAAGCTCTGAAAGGACAACTTTTTCGGTTGTTCCCCGATTCTGCCTCGCTCTGGTTCAAAACCACAGGCTCCTCGCGCAACTTGCTTTTTGACGGCGAAAAGGGCTATTCTATTTACAACACTTTCAGAATTACAGGAGTTTAGGATCGTGGTGGGTTTATACCGACAAACTTTGCAGTGTGATTTAGTTTTACATTTTCTATTGTTTCAGTATAGCAATATGACGAAATTATGATCTTTTTTGCTCATGTCTCAATTATATATGAAATATACTAGAAATTATGGGATGTCATCGCCAATATGTTTTTCAGAAAGTACTAATGCTAGGCAACTTGGCGATGATATGCCATTATTTCTGATATTTTTTCGATATACGTGGAATATGAGTCAAAATGATCATAATTTCTGCATACTGCTGTATACGAAATATTTAACAATTATTATTATCAATGAATATTTACCGAGCGGCGATTCCAAAAGTAGTTTTAGACAATGTTTTTATTATTAAATAAACAAAACTTACCTGTAAAAAGGTTTGATCCAATTTTTTTAAATCCAATTGTTTAATCCAACGACTCGCGGACGACGCCATTTTGCGAAAAAATCCAATATTCACCTATAGGTGAACATCGCTCATTGAAGCGTCAAATTCGACCAATCAGCGCGCTAGAATTATGATATTCACTTATGAAATTATACTAAAATATGTTTATCATGAACTATGATTGCAGCCAAACCAGAAACTCAGTGTGAAAAGGAGCGCAAGATAGCGAGCTCTGCAGCCGTTCCAAACATCTACATACCCGCTTGCGACAACCAGGGAAACTTTGTTGCAACGCAGTGTTTTGACCACGGTACGTACGGGAAACAGTGCTGGTGCGTCGACAAATCTGGACAGGAGATCAAAGGAACAAGAACTCACGGAGGTTCTGAACCCACTTGTGGTACGAAATGCTCTGATTGTTTTGAAGTTCAAAACGTGTATTCATGAAGTTTCCTACTGATTGTCCCACTTCTTTTCAGAAAACGCTCAACCAGCTGTAGTCAAACCAATGACTTGTGATCAGGGACCTTATGGATGTTGTTCGGATGGCCTTACACCGGCTAAGGGACCAAACAAAGAAGGGTGCCCTGTGGTACTACAGAAAACGACCCCCAAGCCATCCAAATGCAAAGAAGAACAAGCAAAGGCATCATTGGGTGTGATGGATATTTTCATTCCTGAGTGTAAACCCAATGGACAGTACAATGAGGTTCAATGCTACACGTTTCCTGTTACCGGCAAGACCCAATGTTGGTGTGTTGACGTCGACTCGGGCGTAGAGCAAGCAGGAACAAGACTTGATGAAAGGCAGCCCAATTGTCTGCAAAGTACCACGACTAGTGCTCCAGTCACGACCCCTGCTGTTCCTCC